TACTAATCACATTTATCAATCATGTAAAAGAAGTTACACTGAAATTTGGACACACATGTTCATTGTTTTTGAGAGCCCGTTCGACGTTAATATAAATTCAGAAAGTTTCCGCCTTATAACGAATTATTGAAAATTTTTACCTCTGTGCAATCATGTATGTGTACGTGATAGTTGGTACACGATTATGAGTTTAAAGATGAATCTGCAAACACCATAGTACGCAATCCACTGAGAAGGGGATCATCTGCTAAAAATAAAGAGAACTTAGCTCCTACACTGCACTCGACGTTCACATTGGACAATATGATTGAGTACGTGAAGATTGCAATTTATAACGTAATCATGGTTACGAATCTAGCATTATGAAGTCTGGAATCTTTAGCAATATGTGTAGTTAAATATTCCTGGGCTGAACCCTCCCATAACGGCGTATTCAAGTCGTCACGTCAATGTAAGAAAGTTATTTATGAAAATTCTTCTTTCCTTTGTGGTTATTGTCAAAATTGAGGGTGCGGTCATCTTGCACTCTGACTAGACGAGGAAAGAGCTTATCGAAAACGTGAAGTGGACTTTTGATGTATTTTCTGGTATTGTTGGATATACTTCCTATCAGTACACTTTGTTCTGAACTGTTCTCAAGCAAACATAACGGCTGCCAGCACGACAAATAGACACGATGATGTACTACTCTGATGCTCTCTTCTATCCACATCTTCCTTTAAAATGTAAATGGAACCAAAAATGCTGTTAGTATTTGCTTAGGATAAGTCATATATACGTCAACTAGTGTAAACGGAAAAAGTTGAGCAGCAATGTTTACCGTCCAATTTTAATCATCATTCATAGGTAACTTCACGGGTGGGCAGAAGTTTTCCATCTATTTAACAAAAGGCTAGCTGTACCATACGCACATTTGGGTTGCAGCTCATAGCGTTAATGAGATAACTCTTGAATATAATACCGATAACCACATGGAGTTACCTTATCGTTAATAAAGAGATACCTAGTTGGAATTGGTTCACGACTCTTGTGTGTAATGAGGGTGTACAAATTGAGTGTGACAATAAATCAAGGGACAGAAAGAAGAAGAGACTACATCTAACAGGTTTTATTCTTTGTAAGTTACACCAAGCCTTCTTACTTTATTCCGGTGTCTTGATGAATACAAGTATCACCTTTACAAAAAAATAGTCAACGCGATTTTATGATCACGTTTTATAATGGGGTTGTTCACACCATTTCATCTTAGAACCTTGTTACTCCTGCATGAGGTCACTATTTACAACGAGCTGATGGTGTATCCTGAAGATACTACTATAACCCAGTTCTGGCAGATCTAGTAACAATTAGACGTAAATAGAGTTTTGTTCTCTGAGATGGATTGTTTCGTAGTGAAGCTTCCATTGTTCTTCTGAACAACATCAACACGAATTTCATGTACAAGTGAAGTGTTCGCATTTCTTCAAATATGATTTACAGCTTGTCCTGTCGACCTTTAACTTGTCACTGTCTACTTCTTTATTTAATTATATCTCCGATTGATTAGATTCTTGGTCCTATATTTGCCTACGATTTTACTGACTGATCAATAAATTGGGTCGATTTCAATGTGCTTGTTGACGTCACGTGTATACAGTGCTAAGCACCTATATTGCCCGATACCTCAAATCCAGTTTAAACAGAAGTATAGAATCAAGGAATAGGAAGGTGCTTTTGAAAAATAGCCGGTTTGGCGGGCATCATGGAATCTATTCAGATTAGTCGTCGTGAAATACACACAGCACGGCATACCTAAGCGTGAAGTAGTTCTGATGATTGACTGAGCTCCTTTATCTAGGGGTGTGTCAAGTAAAACTAATACAGTTAGAATTCATTCAGGATACTTACGAAACTAATGATCTGTGTGGCTTATTTGCCGTCACAAATTTGTTTGTTCCTCTCAAAAGAGGTAGCCTTCCATTCATATTAATCTGCGTATCACTTAAACACTCAGTGCTTACAGTACGCCATTTGTATTCATAGAACTTTAGATGCTTCATAGACGAGTTCATCCGAAGATTAAATTCGAGCGTTTATCTTAGATGAAGATCAAAAGCCGTCTTTTTGACAGTATTTCATTTTGAATGACTTCTGAAACGATTAAGTGTTTAGTATTCCATGTAATTTAAAATCACACAGAATGCCAAGTTCATAAATATGGACAATAAAAATGCTTTTATTTGCTGAAACCAGATTATTATATTCGGACCAACCTAAATTGCTGTGGGACAACTAGTGTAGTTTCCTTAATATCTTAAGCTTTCCAGTCAAAAAGACACATTGGCGAGACTATAATTTATAGACGAACCAACCAATGTATCCAAGCAGCTAGCCCATGTTTGGTAAGGGAGAAAAATTCACTTAAGCGTTTTCAGTGTGTGGTAGCAAAATCAGTGGGGGGTTTTTCTGAACTCCCTTACGATATGTGTTTAGAACGCCTAAACCTTCCCTCCTCGTCGTATCGTAGGACGCGAGGTGACCTTATACTGGCATTTCATATCTTTAATTATGATTTGGGTGTTCACATGTCTTATCCTTTCGCTCCCTCCAGCACTAATAGTTTCCGAGGTCATGGCAATAAGGTTCACAAACTGAGATCCAATAAACTTAAAGTGGGGTCCCTTTTTTTCATCGAGTAGTCAGTGACTGGGACGCCTTACCCGAACAAGTGGTATCAGCCCTACAAGTGAATATTTTCAAAGAGAAGCTGGACCTTCACTGGAAGGAAATCTGCCAGGATTAACATAGGTTCACCAACCTACTATCCTTATTACTGAAGACTGAAGTGAATATTCCCAAAGTCTCTATAGCGTCGCCCAAAGGTCGTCCACAAATTATAGTCTCACTGAAACATCATATCTCACGATATGCACACAGAGACCTTGAAAATTAGCTGATAATAGCCAAGGACATCTATTAGACAGAATTTTATTTCAATTAATTGCCACTTGATCAACTTCAACATTGGTCGATGTGCGACATACAAGTCAAGGTCATTCCTGGCGTTGTCCAAGGTTGTTGTTGGGTTTTAGTTCAACTGTTGTGATATATATTAAAATAGTATTCCTTATGTCTTCATAAAGGAACATACATACATGAGCCTGTATCGCTGTAAGTCAAAGAGGTGAGGACGGACCTTTAGGGGAGATTTAAGCTTGTAATGAAAATGACTTTCCCAACCCAATCAACCAATATAGGGGAAATAAAGGAGAAAAAGGGAAATAAAGGGTAAAACGCGCAAAAACGTCGCTTTTTTCGCCTGTCCGGGGGAAATAATGCGGATTTCCACCCTTTTATTGCTTTGTCGCTAAATTGTTTACTTTTCCCCTAAATATCCACCGAATTGTCTACTTTTCGCCTAAATTTTTCATTTAAGTGAAAAAGGGGAACTTTTGTGGAACAGTGGGAAAATTTCTAGAATTCAGGTTTAATATGAACAAGATACATCTAAGCGTCTTCGTTTTTCCTCATCCATGGGTAAATGGTGAGTATCTAATCCTAAATTTCCTCACTGAGGTGAAATATCTCGAAATTAAAACTTTTGCCAGCTTCAGGATGTATACTTTTCTGAAAAGTTCACATCATATCGTTAACTTTACGGCAGTATAAACAATTGGAATAGTTGATTTTGCGCGAAGTGTAACACACTTGTATACTGTACATTTAGGAAGACTGCATTTAATTGTCCAGGTCAGCCAAATTATATGCGCACTCGACAATTATCAGAGCAGTGGTTTAAATGACATTGATTTATTAATAATTTTCACATAAACGACTGTCAGTAATGTTTATATCGGGAGGATAGTGAAGCGTAGACATCTTAACAGAAAAGTTGTCTTCAACCGTGATTAAAAAGTTAGTGTGAGGTTAACGTACATGTATGAAGAAAGCCTCTTAGCTCAAGCGAGATACTCGTGCATATCAGCGTTTACTTGCTACATGTAGTTGGTCTCAACTTACTCGATGCAAGTCAGAAGTTTAGTATGGGTTTAAAGAACATTTGTGTGACCAAAAAATATTTACATTGAGGGCAATTCAAAGATTTGACTCATCGAGTTAACTCATATATTATTGATCCCTCATATGTGGACTGAAAGGGAAGATGGCGACATTCCTTGGGAGTTTGGTGTGTATAAACGAGAAATGCTCCAAGATGTCTGATTTTTTGTTTGACATGGTTGTCAGGAGACTTACTGCCTAGATATGAAAGTTTTAAGCTACTAACCTATCAGAGCTATCTGTCAAACCGAAATAGGATGTTCAATTCCAACTATTCAGTCACTTTTTGTGTGGCATACATATTCGTGGGATTGATTAGTCTCCAAAAGTAGTCGTTACTCAGTCCCTCTAAATTTCGGCAGATGTAAATTATTAATCTTGTATACGAATATTCGTCAAGATTAGAGCAGAATCGGGCGCAGAGAATAGGGAAGTCACTGTATGTGAAAACCATATTTGAAATAATCTCAGCGATTGAAATTTAAATAATTCCAACGTTTCGTCCAGCTAACTTGTCTGAATATGGTTGATTTTCCTAATTTCCTGATCATTTGTTTCATGCGATACATAACAGTTAACTGTCATGATTTTGTAGCGTATAAAACATTATATTTCTAGCCAGAAACAGCGTTAAAGGGTCCAGACGAGAAATGAAATCAAAATGACAAGTTGCATTTTTGATTCTATGGATCTAAAGCATAAATCCCACATGTTAAGGGGTTGTTTATAATTTGCTATTCTAGTGTTTGCTTTGGTTTTTCTATGTAAATGCTTTTTACGTTAGAGTTCTTGAAGGATAAACCTGATAGGAAAAATTATGCAGTTATTGTTTTGATTCTAATTACTATTGAAAGCTACTTTTATAGTATTACCAATCTTTCACAGTATTTTTTCTAATTGTATTTTACCATACTTGTAGTAATTTACGTTTCCAGATCTAACCCAAGGTGATTTCATGTCAAATGACCAATCGTATTTACTCTGCGTTGTACTCCAAAATAGCAAATCCACAAAATTCTTCAGAGGATTCTGCTTTATTACCTGAACCATTACTCAGTTTTTTGAAGTCAAGTAATACAGATGGATCACAGAATTCTACTAAGGAATCTATAACTCCCGCTGAAATCGAGGCACAAGGTCGTCTTACGTCTTGGTTTTATCAAGCTGATGCTGATCCTTTAATGCTTAAAGGCATGTCTCGACAGCAGCGTCTAATGGGGTTTTTCTTATGTCTTCTTTCAGCGTCGTTGTGTCTTTGTTTGGCGATGGTTTTTTTGCCAGTTATTGCAACACCTTTTGGTATGCGTAAATACGTACTGTTGCATACACTTGGTAGTATTTTATTAATTGGGAGTTTTTCATTTCTTTGGGGCCCATGGAATCACATTAAAAGCTTATTTAGCACTGAGCGCCTGTTTTTTACTTTAAGTTATTTAGTCAGCTTATTTGGTGGCTTATATGCTGTGGTTGTGTGGCAGAGTGCCGTATTTTCAGCTTTGGCCTTGATCTCCCAAATTTGTTTAGTTGTATGGCAAATTATTGCCACTATACCTGGAGGTAAAATTGGCTTGAGCGCTTTCTTACGTGGTAGTTTGTGGACTGTAAAAGGAATTTCTAAAGGTCTACCTGTTTAGTTATTTTTGCGTTACATGTTGCTCTCTGTAAAAAAGGGCTGAGATATTTTTCTGACATTCTGTCGAGGTGAATTATGCTAGCCTCATCACTAGATTTTATTGATTTTCTAAAGACGGTTTGAATAATAATTTATTTATATGCAATATCATACTCGCTTTGTTCAGATTAAACAGAAGGGTAAATTAGTAAGAAAGTAAACGATTGTTTAAGATTTTTCTTGATGAATCTAGTACGGATAGCTAGTTGAACAATCTACATATCAACCGACTGTAATACTAATCGTTATCATTTGTTGAGTAGTGTTAACTGTCCAAAACATTAGCTGGGAAATTTGTCCAGTAGTTGTTAAGACACGTGACATCCAAAGACCTGACATCCTTTATACTGTATCTTATGGTGTGTAAGCGTAATCTACCGGTAAGCGTTGATCTCGTTGTTCTCGACGAATCCTGAATACTGATGTACGACGTCTGTCAAAGTGAATGTACATATTTGTTCATAAGAGTTTTGCTTCACTTGTTGAAGTTTGTCGTAGGATATTTCTGATATTTAGATAATCAAAGTGTAAATAGTTAGATTAATGTGGAGTGGTGTACACGTGATTCGATATTACAGTGTTACAAATGTGTCACAAATATGTGTACCTCTATCAGGAAAGCTGTTGTAAACCTTCGGAATGTTGCAGAATGTAATAAAATGGGAAAATATTAAAACCAATTGTTTCTAATAACATAATTCTCCTCGAGTTTAGCTCCACTTATTTCACAGTACTTAATTTCACCGATCTGAGCAAGATTTCCACTTAATAGCTTACAAATAGTTTTCAAGAACTGGCTAAAGAACAAACCAAAAAGTAGCAAAATCTGGACAACCATTCAGTGATGTTTTTCATCTAATAAATATCATATTTGAATAGCCAATAGTCGGTGAAACTCTGATTAAGTCTGGGTAAACAGTTTTTAAAGGTATCATGAGTGAATATGAATATATGGCAAACAGATAATTAAGTTTGTCAACAGTACAACGCGTAGTATTCCTCTTTGTTGTTAACAAAGCTAAAACCTTAGTAGAGTCCTAATTTTAAATTACTTGAAAATTTCAAAGACTGACCCAACAGGAATGTCCCTAAAATCAATTTTAGCAGCTTTCAGTCCTTCGTTACCATACAACTTTCAAATAGAGAAACTAAGTATTATAGAGCAGTTCCGATGGTGGACTTTCAAGTGCGGCATTCATATTAAATGGTTTAAGATTATGACATGTAGTGTTAGTTAGTGCCGATTTTTCCCAATGACTCATATCTAATTCATTGAACTTATTCATAATATAATAAAGAGGTAGGATTTCCGCGACTTAGAGGCTTCGATGGGAATAATAGTGTACCAAATATGAGTTTATATACTAGACACTCAGTTATACGCTTGTGTATGGGGAATATTGGGTTAGTGATCAAAGAACTTAACTCTTAGGAATCTGCGAGCTCATCACTTCATTGTTGGTAGCCGGGTAGTGTGGTGGACTCTCATATCAAAAGTTTTGTTCAAAGCTGAGTACATAAGACTATGATTAGTAGATTAGTTACTCTTTTGTTATCGTTCGATTTTTGAGCACTTCATTGATGTAAAATTGTGAAATGTGTTATTACGCTTCACCAGTAAGCAAATGGATTAGCTTTACTCAGATGCGAATAGCCAGGCCAAAAATTATGCAAAACAGCCTATTGACAGTTTTTACAAATGTATCGAGATATGCTTTTTAGTTTCACTTCACTGTGACAAAAAAATTAGATTGGGAAATTTTCTTAAAGGGTCTGAAACTTATGCCCTAGTGGTTTTCTTAAATATATCCCAGTGAAAGATGCCTCCGATGAGGCATTAAGTCGACGAAACTCATCTGAAGATTATAGTTTCGTTTCATAGTATGTGTTACAGAGCTTATCATGGATAATCAATCGTAAATAAAAATGAGAAGACATTGGGCTATATAATTTTTAAAGAAATAAGATTAACGATGTCATAGGCAAATGCGTAACACCGAGGTGTAGTAATTAACTACGAATTGCTTGAGTTTTGTTGATTCAGACAACTTACACCTGTTACCCCTCATGGAGAAGCATAGGTCACTCACCAGCATTCAGCATCCAACTCTGTCCTGGGCAATTTCTTTCAGCTGCTATTGATCCTCCTTGTGTCTGCTTCCGATTGCCGACTCAATTTGTCCTTTGGCCTTCCTCTTTTCCGTTTACCTTCAAGATTCCAAGTTAGCGTTTGCCTCGTGATGCAGTTTGGTGATTTCCATAATGTATGTCCCATCTACTCCCAACATCTTTTCCTGATCTCTTCAGCCGGAAGCTGATTTGTTCTCTACCACAGTAGGCTATCACTGATGTTATCAGATCAATGGACATTGAGTATTTTGCGTAGACAATTGTTTATGAATACTTGTACCTTCTTGATGATGGTTGTAGTAGTTCTCCAAGTTTCAGGTCTGTACAGTAGAACTGTCTTGACATTCGTATTAAAGATTGTGTCTTTGATGTTAGTTGACAGTTGTTTTGAGTTCCATATGTTCTTCAGTTGTAGGAATGCTGTTCTTGCTTAGCCGATCCTAGCCTGTACGTCTGCATCAGATCCTTTTCGTTCATTGATGATGCTGTCGAGACATGTGAAAGATTCAACATCTAGAGCTTCTCTATTGAGTGTGATTGGGTTGGTATTCTCTGTGTTGTATTTTAAGATCTTACTTTTACCCTTGTGTATGTTGAGTCCTACTGATGCAGAGGTTTCTGCTACGTTGACTATCTTCACCGGCATTCGTTCGTGTGTGGGATAGAAGGGTCAGATCATCTGTGGAGCTCATATGTTCTAGTTGATTCCGAGCTGTCTATTGTATTCCTTGTTTCTTCTCCGTTGTCAAGGTCTACATAATCCAGTCAACCATTAGAATAAAGAGAAATGGAGAGAGTAAACAGCCTTGTCTGACTGCAGTCCCTACTTGGAATGTATTCGTCAGCTGTCCTCCATGCACGCCTTTGTACTGTAGTCCGTCGTGTGAATTCCGTATAATATTGACGATCGCAGGTACACTATAGTATTGAAGAAGTTTCCATAATATTATACTATCCACACTGTCAAACTTTCTCACAGTCAAGGATGCTGATGTATAGTGAAGAGTCGTACTCCATTGATTTCTCAAAAACGATGCGTAGTGCTGCTCTTTGTTCTGTGTACGACCGATCCTTACGGAGTCCAGCCTGATTATCTGGGAGTTCGGCGTCTCTAGAGTTTTCCATCCGGTTCACCAACGCTCTGTTGGAAACTTCTCCATTTTACCGATAATAGTGTGGTTCCTCTGCAGTTCTTTCATTTGCTCAGATCTTTCTTTGGTACCTTGATGAGGCGTCCTTCTTTCCAATCTGTCGGCATTTGTTCCTCCTCCCAAATCTTCTTGAATAGAATGTGGAGCATGTTTTCATTTAATTATATGCCTGACTTCAGTGCTTCAGCTGGTATATTGTCAGGTCCTGTTGCTTTCTCGTTCTTGATTTGTCTGATGGCCGTCCTCATTTTTTCGGCCGTTGGTGGAGTGACACCTATAGGGTGGTCTGTGGGCGCTGCTTCGGTGTCCGGTAGATTCAATGGAGCTGGTCTATTCAAGATTTCCTCCGTCCTTGAATTTCAGTGATTGGCTTGCCTTATTTGTACTTGACCAGTCTCTCTGGTTTACTATATCTCCTCGCTAGTTTCTTCCTCGTGTCGTATAGTTGTCTCATATTTCCTTCTCTTATAGCTTTTCACACTGTCGTTGCTAGGTCTTCCACATATTTCTGCTTGTCAGATCTAATGCTTATTTTCACTTGCTTTTTTGCTTCAGTGTATTCAGCTTGTACTTTGACTTTCTCTGTTCTTCTTCAACTGTTGTTAACAGCTGTCTTGTCCTTTCTTTCTTGAATCTTGTTCAGGATTTCGATGGATATCCGTCCCTTATTATGATGCTTTTTGCTACCCAGAACCTCCTGACACTTTGAAGTTTGTGATTCTTTGACCCTTTTCCAGTTGTCCTCCATAGTAGTTTCTTCTTTGAGTAAATTTTGTAAGGCTTGTAACCTGTTGTTCAGAGCTATTATGAATTCGTTGAGTTTGTCAGTATCTCGAAGGAAGTCTCTATTGAACCTTTGTGATGGTATTTTTCAAGTTGCCTAGTGCTTCTTTAGCTTCAGTTTAATCTTGGAAACCACCAGGTGGTGATCTGAAGCTATTTCAGCTCCTGTCCTGGTTCTCACGTCTTCCATTCTCCTGAATGTGTTATAAATAAATAAATATGATCTATCTGATTCTCCGTGGTGTGGTCCGGTGAGATCCATGTGCTTTGTGTATACGTTTGTGTGGAAATATTGTGCCGCCTATGACCAATTTGTTGAATACACACAGATTTGCAAATCTTTCCCCGTTTTCGTTTCTCTCTCCCAGTCCATGTAGTCCCATGATGTCTTCATATCCGGTGTCGTCCATCCCGACTTAGGTGTTTAGGTCCCCCATCAGGATGGTCAGGTCTTCCTGAGTATTTCGCTATGATTGATTGGAGCCCATCATAGAATTGATCTTTATTGTCGTCATTGTTATCATTGGTGAGTGCATAATATTGGATAACATTCGTCGTGATTCCCATCTTTGTTTTGAAGGATGCTTTGATGATCCTGGGTTCATGAGATTCCCACT